GTACCTAGAAAGTCAATCCTAGCACTTGATATTTCCAAGTATAAATTATTTGAATACTAGATTTAATTTCATAAACTTTGAATGCCATTGCTGTCATCTCTTTTGCTAAATCATAAGGGTTGACTTGCCAGCCTTTCCACATAGGGAGAGTATGCCATCCCAGCATTATTCCAGTTTCTTTCTTTCATTCTTTCCCAGCCCTGACAACCTTGTTCAGAACACAGCACACATTCTAAATGTAGTCTCACTGTAATTGCGCTATGATAATGGATTATTTATGGTCCCTTTCCTGTCCTAATAATACCTTATACTAAATTTATATTTTTCATGTATCAGTATACTGACCTTATTATCAGTAAGCATCCCACCATGAATCCTAGATCTTGCACTCATAGATACAGCCAGTCCAGACTTTCAAGATAGATGTGATCAGGATATTTTGTCTTACTTTGCATCACTTGATCATGTGATTACTTGTACTGAAACCTCTGCCATTCTGTTACCAATTCACCCACTGCAGAGAGATCATGTTGGAGTTCTCACAGACTGCTTAGGATTTTATGGGTTGAATAAACTGACATTTCTGCAGTTTCAAGGTACCCGTCTGAAATGCACACAAGGGCTACCCTGTTGTCATACCCTAAGAATGATCAAACTATTGTTATTATTACATTTTTATACTGAGTCAAAACTCTCTGGATGTTTTACAATAGTCCATGGAATACAATAAAATGCTGATGGAAACAAAATTTAACTACAAAAATTTAAGTTAAACAATTTAAAGAGCTAAAATACCAAAATTTATTTAAAAGCAGCTGACATAAGCCCCCCTGTAATATGTAATAGTAAGCCCTGTAATATGTAATATTAAGTCACATAACCCCCACCCCCCAATTCTGTAATATGGGAGCTGCTACTGAGGGAACCCCTTCCTTGTTGCCATCATCTGTGCCTCTCTTGATGGTGACATTCAAGATACTGAGTGTAGTGTCAGAGTAGATTTAGGCTGGGAGAAGTGCTCTGACAAGTATGGAATTGGTCTTAGAATGTACAGGCAATCAGTACAAAAAGACCAGAAATGGTGTTATATGCTTAGGCTTTTTGGTCCCAGTTATTAGTCTGGCAACAACGTTTTAAGCAAGTTGCAGCCTCTGAACAATCTTTAAGGGCAGCTCTACCCAGAGTGTGTTGCAGTAATCTAACTTGGAGATTACCAGGACACAGGTTACTGAAATCAGGCTATTCCTGCCTAAATTGTGGCATAGCTGTGCCACCAGCTCAAATTTGATAGAAGGTACTCCATGCTATTGAGGCTGCTTGAGCTTCAAGTGACAAAGATGGCTTCAGGTGGATACCCAAGGTATGAATGTGCTCCTTCAGGGGAAGTGCAACCCCTGGAGAATGAATGGAATATCCTCCATCTGATCAGAAGAACAGCATTTCAAGAAGCACAAGTTTTTATTTCCTATACCACTCATAAGCCCAAAATGGCTCTCTAGGCAATTCAGAGTCAGAAAGCCAGCAACACAAAATAAAATACCAAATAAAATCAGTAACATTGAAATTGAATATACATAATATAAAAACAACAGCAACAGCAGGCCTACAATAACCACATTCAAGTTAATCCACTAGCAACATTTCAGTCTTGTCTGGAATGAGCTTCTGTTACTATCCTTCATCCAGTTTGTTGTTGCAGCTGGGCACTGATTTAGCACACTTCTGAAGAGGAAAAGGAGAAATAGAGCTGTATGCCATTAGCATTCTGATAGCAATACACTCCAGAACTCTGGATAACTCCACTCAGCAGTTTCATGAAGATGTTGAATAGCATGGCTGACAAAAGTGGCCCCTGGGGAACTCTGTGCTGCAGAATCCATGGGGCTGACCAATATTCCCCAATCCTCATATTCTGGAGCCAGCATTCAGCTACAGTGTGGTGCCCCCCAGTACTGCTCATATACCTTAAACCATGTTATCTGTTGGGCTATCAAAACCTGTCTGGAGTATCATTAGGTCACATACCCTTTGTCTGATTCCTGATATAGGTCATCACATAGGGCAGCCAAGGCTGCCTCTGTGCCAACTCTGAAATGATCCAGATAGACTAGACACAATGCCATTCACACAATGAACACTTCCATGTATTGATGTTTCAAAGCAAATTGTAGGTGAAGAGGACCACATTTAGAACAAGATTCTAGCATGGAAGATAATCTTTAAATCTTTGACCTCCATTGTGAATACATTCAATTTCCCCTTCACGTCTGCAGTTTCAGTTTTAGGACTATTAATGCAGTTGCTAATTCTCTGAATCATGTCACCTGTAGTTTTGCTTTCAGCATCATATAAAAGATTGCTACTGGTTAGGGTATTGTTCATACTACCAAGTTAAGAGTACTAATTCTAATGCAAGCCATTAGGAGAGTTGCTGGTTCAAGGCTGCAGCCTATGCTGAAGGACAGGTTCAGAGTAAGTATTTGTCAAGTGCTAAAATACTAAAATGTCCCTGTGCTACTTTTAAACTTTTTATCAAACTAGTGATCAAGTAATGCTAACTTGCAACTTCAGCATCAAAGGAAGTATGATAGAGGAATTCCATCAAAGACATAGGGAACAGCATACTCCCAGAGCTATTGCAGCTATCACCATCTTGTCCCATTTCTTGAAAATTTTAGGGCAATATCCAACAGTGCCCATACATTAGTAGGACTCATTGTAGTGCAAGAGGATGCTTGTGGGTCCTGAAGCAACTGGAAACAAGCTGAAAACCTATTTCTGGAATGGGCAAGTTAGGAGAGCTTACAGAGAAGGTATCCACCGACTTTGTCCAGTTCTTGAAATAAGCATTTCCAGGTTTCCTGTGGAAAATTTTGATTTCCTTTTGTGCTAGTAGTTAGTCCTTTAGGCACAAAAGAGCAAGTGGAGGTACAGATACTGTTTTTAACATAACTATAGATCTTACATTATATGCAGACCTTTGAAAAAATCCTGTGTTTTATTTTTTTAATATCTAGCAGTTTTATCTGTAATTTATAAAATGTTAGTTAAATATTTCAATTAAAGTTTGAAATTTAGTGTTAGTTTGCATATTTTTTATTATTTTATTTCTTTATGTTTATACCGCCCAACAGCCAGAGGCTGAGAGGGAAACAAAGATTCAAAATGGGAACATACAAACATGAAAGCCAAGAAAGACATATAACAATGAAACAGTAAGACAATGAATCAAATAAAACAATAACAATAGATTCACAGCAATTTATTATTATTTATTTATTAAAAGCATTTTTGCCCTGTTCTTTACCTGGGTCTCAGGACAGTAATACAACAATAAAGCATGACATCATAAAACTCATTTTTAAAACAATCATCAGATCTTAAAATATTGGGAAGATAAAATGGTATTGACCTGGCATCAAAAAGAATAAAAGTGTCAGTGTCAGGCCCACCTCTCTCAGGAGCATGTTCCAAAGCTGGGGTGCACCGCAGAGAAGACCCTTCTCTGGGTAGCCACTATCCTGACCTCCTGAGGGGCCCCAAAGAAAGACTTCTAGGGGTGGGCAGGTATACATGGAAGGAAACACACCTTCAGGTACCCAAGAATTGCAGTCAGTCAATACAGAGGCAAAGTAGCAATACCAGATAAAATGAAATGTTTTAGTTTTAATATTGCAACTTTTAAAATACTGGGGAAATAAGATTTTTAACTGGCACCAGAAAGAATAGATGGTAGGCACCAGGCATATCTCTTTGGGGAGCTTGTTCCATAATGGGTACCACAACTGAAAAGGCTCTTCTCCTAGTAACCTCCCTCATTACTTCCTTTAGAGGGGACTCCCTGATCGTAGGACTTGAATAGATACATATGGGATGAGGTGGCCCTTCAGATAGCCTGTCCCAAGCCATTTAGGGCTATGAATGTTAATATTAGCACTTTAAATCAGGCTAAGACTTCAACTGGCAGCCAGTGCAGGACTGGCATTATATGATCTCATGAGCCAGTTCCTATTACCAACCTTGCTGCCCTGTTTTGAATTAATTGAATACTATGGACTTCAAAGGCAACCCCACATAGAGTGTGTTGCACTAGTGAAGAAATGTTTCTGCAATGATACTTGGATTATTATTTTTAGAAGAAGACTTTCATTGAAATATATGCCTCATTCCTGTTATAAAGTAGATATCAAGGTCAAATGCCTGCTCAACACTAGCTCATTTGTTAACTGAGAGTAAGGAACTGAGGTTGGCCCATGGTCTTTCAGATTTTACAAGCTGGTTTAAACTGGGTTTAAAGCTGATTGAGGATGTACCTGCCCACAGCAAATTCCACAAATTCAAGGCACTTTTGTAAGATGCTTACCTCATGGTTCTAGGTCAGGTGTGGGCAAAAGGTAGATCATGATATATTACAAGACCTTTTTAGGGAACAAGAATGTTAAAATTGCTTTAAATAAAAATAGTATTATTTTTTAATAAATTTAAAGTAGATTGGTAAAGGTTTCTGTTTTCTGTTTAATGATTGTAGTGACAAAATGACTCTGCCAGTAACTCTAATTATACTATTAAAATGAAGAAAGCACAGGGTAATCAGGAATGGATTTCTGTGTGGAAGGAATATAAGTTTCAGTACACAAATAAATCCTTTGGTGCACAGTTCCTTAATTCTTAGAGAACCTTTTGCTTCTCAGTCCGGTTGATCTGACGGTCCTGGTAAGAAGCAAAGTAGATACTGCCTGCCTGAAGGATGCCCACCCATTTTTCTAAGGTAGTGCAGTTGGATCCCTTAACTGTAGTTATTGAATAAGTTAATATATTTTGACCAGCCTTGAATGCACTGAAACAACATGAAAAGCCATACATTCTCTTCTCATATTTTGGAGGTCTGTCATATTTCTAGCTTTTGAGTGGGACTTGGGAAAGCAGGCTAATTCAGCAACATTTATTTGTTTCTATGTTGCAGTGGTACATCATTCTAATTGATTTTCTTTTTCTTTCAGCAACGCTCCACTCGCTTTTTCCTCCAAAGTATGTTATATTAAGTTTCGGGAATCTTCAAGTGTTGGTGTGGCCCAGCATCTAACAAACACGGTTTTTATTGACAGAGCTCTGATAGTTGTGCCCTGTGCAGAAGGTTTGTATTTCAGACATGTTTTTGTTTTGATGGTCTTTGTTACACCAGTTTGTTACTTGTGCTTTTCAGCAACTGGGAAGGTGTTAGTACTGTGTGTCCTTGTTTTTCTTCTACTCAAATCTCTGTTGAGGAATATGGAAATAATGATCCTTTAAAAACAAGAAGAAATTTCTGTGGAACTTTTTTCTTGTGATCAGTTAGGTTTTAAATTTGTGGGTATTTTCCTATGGTCATTTTTCACTTATCTTTTGCAAGGAGGAACATTTGCTTCTTTCACTAAAACTGAACACTGACAACTTCATCCTAAAAAGTCATGCTGACCTTCTCTCTGAAAAAAGCAGCATCATACAGGGCTGGGCAACACAGATGGAACTGGAAGTGTATCAGGAGTTTTTATCATATATTTGGACTTCTCTGACACTGTGACTGGGAGCACTCCTTTCTTATCTTGGCTGAAAGTGAGGTTTCTTAGGTTTTCTATCAGAACTGTAATAAATGGTTTGAGTATACAAGGTAGCTCTTAACCATAGTATCATAGCTTTTTCTAAGAATACATTTTATACAAGGATTCCCATAATACACCTTAACTATCCACTGATACCATGGCCTTCAGGAAGAGTTGTTAGTATAGACTGTTGTCTGGCTTTTTTATGACCATAATAGCATACGTGCATTTATCTATTTCATATTTGCCTTGCAAACATGCAATCTTGGGCAATATATACAACACAAGCTATCAAATGCTTATGATAGGTTTGACACTCTGTTAGCTGCATGTATATATTTCTGGATGCTAGTTTTCTATCCTAGCAGGAAGTGGACAGAGTGCTGTCAGAACACTTTGCAAGTGAGGAGTGTTCTGGAGAGTGCTGGTGATACGGGATCATTCCTTCTAAACCTAGCTGGTAGACAGGAATTGTCTTTTTCAGAATTCACAGTCACAGTTAACTGATTGTTCAGGCAGAAGTTAAATGGTGACTATGGGAATATTTTTTAAGTAGAACAGGGCTCAAGAACTAATAAACAGGAGGAACTGAGCTCAGAAAATAGTAAAGAGAACAGAGAGTTTTCTGGGTTATCTCCTGAGCTAAGGATTTGCAGCAGCATGAAAGGTGATCGTTAACCAAGATACTTAAGACTTAGATTAAATGTTCAGAATAAATGTCACTCACCTTTTGCTGGTTGTGATTACATGTTTCTATGCCAAAAGAAATATGCAGTCACTGAAACTGTGTTATTAAATTGGATTTCTATCCTGTAATTAAGGGTTACCACAAGTTCTTGTATGGATTCTGAATTACCAATACCAGCATTTATTTTCTTATTACTTTGCATAACTGTAACCTTAATAGATAACAAATATTTTAATAATGGCAAACCAGTATTACTTTGGAATATCCAGTATGGTAAAAACTGTGCTTCTCCTTTATGTTGAGTTTGCTTTGGTTTGCTTTGTCGGAGAATGTTGAACATGATTTAGCAGTCTAATGAACAGTAGGGTTCACATTCATGTGGCTCTGTTGAAATGGCTGTGCATTATCTGAAGAGAATGCTTTCCTTTGGACTATAGTACCTCTTTTTAAAAATCGGATTCACAGCTTTTCTATGGAGATCCAGATATGTTTTAAAAAAAACCAACAACCTGAAGAGCTATTGGGAAGGATCCTTTTGTTCACGAGTTGAGTTTCTTGCATCTTTACTTATCCTTTGTCTGTCTACATGTCCAAACGCTAACAATTTCTCATTCCTCTGGCTAAAATACAGCTAATTCTGTGGCATCTTTGCTTTAGAACTGAAATAGAATTAAGAAAAATAGATAGCATACACAAAGTGATATAGTACTTGAAAGACAGGCATGGAGCTTTGGCGCAAGTAGAAGCAGTTCTAATCTTCTGTTCATAGAATATATGTTCTGAGCAACAATCTCTTTTGAAAGCAGGGATGCATGCATTTCTGACATGGGGACTCTTATAGCTGTGTGCCTGTTGCAGGTGTATAAAAAGCAAATCTCTAAATGGCCCTAGGTCAAAATAATGCCTTGAAAGTACTATTAACCAGTTAATTCATTACCGTGGTTTTCATTTTCACTAATTTTCATTGGTGATTCTGGGTTTATCTGTAATGGTTCTGTATGGCTTATTCAGTGATCCCAAAGATACCAAAGTCATTGTTTTATCATGGATCTAGAGCAATATGCTAGGGTTATTGGAATATTTTACCATATCAGAACCATGTTTCTGCAGCCAAGATAATATTTGAAGATGACCTACCTCTTTTGAAGACTGATAAGCTTTATAATATAATGATGTGAGCAGAGGGATGAATACATTTTAGATTTTATATTTGCCTAGCAAGAAGACCACAATGCTATTGCTGTACTGACATCATAGGAGTATAATCCAGTATCCAAATTGTTTCCACCATCTTCTTATAAATCCCAGAACAGGAGAACAGATGAGGCAAAGATTTCTCTTCCTCATGTGCTTTTCTTTCTGTCTTGTCTTTCTGAGTTGTTTCTAGTATGGAAAAACAGCTGAGTTGCCTCCCTTCAGCTGGAACATTGCTGGTATGGGGCATCACAGGACTACAGAAGAAGAGTGACCCTTCTTGTCTTGCTCCTTTGTACTCAACTTTCCACAAGGCTGCTGCAGGGCTGTTGGGGGGGTGGGGTTCCTCTGCCCTTACCTCTCTTAAACTGGCCCACCTGTAAGACGGGTTGACAGAAGACAGGTTCATGGGCATTACAATTACAGCGCTATTCCAAAGTAAAGCTTGCAGAATGCTTGAAATACAAATTCACCTCCACCCTTGCAAGTCCAAGAGATTAAAAAAAATGTCCACTGTACAATTTCCAAATGATGTTACTGCAGTTTGCGCCAGTAAGATACTAACTTCTTTTCAAGAGTAAACTGAAGTTATTTGGTACACAGTGCTGATTCTAAATACTATATTTGAGTACAGCTTGCAATTATAAAAGTGGGCTTATGGTGCATACATTTCACTGTTGATATATATGAATACAAATGAAGAGAAGATTGAAAGCACTGACATCTAGCTTCAGAGATCAGTGTGAAGTTTTTCAAAAATTGTAGAGTTTACGTAGCACAGTGCAATTCTATACATGTCTATTCAAAAGTAATCCCGTGAGTTCGGTGGGACTTAACTACCATGTACATGTGTATAGAATTGCAGCCTTAATTGTGATTGATATTCCATGTAAGTGGGGGTGGGGTGGGGGTAGGGAGTGTTGCAGAGAGACATCTTCATCAAAGTTCCTTAATGGTAAATATTTTGAGATCATTAACAAGACTTTCAGATGTGTGCAGTTGCCATGAAAATGCATAGGTTGAGTAGGAGTCAAACTTCACAGGACTACATATATCAGACTCAGCACGTTCCTTGAATTTCACTTGAACAAAAAGGAGAGCTGATGTGGGATGCAGACAACGGGTATAATGTGCTCTGTTTAACTTTCCTGCTAATGGCTGGCCTCTGTTGGAAAATCCAGATGTTGTGATATCTCTGTTTTTGTGCTGCTAATTGTACAAAAATCAGGCACAAAGAAAAATGGGGAGAGAAGGATTTCAAAAGAATTTGGATATAAGCCTACATTTTCTGTCAGGAACAACTCTCAGTGTTGCATGGGAAGGGTTTCATTGGGTAGTAAACTGGTGTTTAGTGTATAACACATACGCTCATTCATCACTATTCATATTACTAACCTACATTGTGACTTCAGATGCAGTGGGCCAATTTGCATGTCATGATGAACCATCATGGATTAACTTAAGTCATGGATTTCTGAGATGTGCATCAGCTACTGTTTTAAATATGCAGACCATGGCAAGTGAGCATCTTGGCTTATTGTGGTGGGCAAAACCAGTCATCATGGATTATTTAAATATAGATATTGCTTAAATTCAAAGACTGTTTAACCCTCACAATGCTAAAAAAAAAAAAAAAGTGTTGGCACACCTGACATGGCATGCTGCTTCAACATGACAACCAGCTCACATCTTGGAGCCTCACATGTTAGTTAACCCATAGTAGTTGTTTATGATGTGCAAACTGACCCAGTGAAATGTTACATTGTCAAAATGTTGCCCGTTTACCATTGTATGTGTATCTGAGTTTCTCTCTAATTCTGTTCTGGTTTGAGAGAGGGCACGACTGAAATGTATCAGAGTTGCCACCTTTAACCATCATTCTAAACTTTATGTCCACATTTTCTGGTAGATGGATTTTGACTATTAATTTGGTTTTGTATGTTTTCTCTGTGTGATATTTGTGCATTATTAGATGACTAGACTGGCCAAGGCAGACCTGTTACACTTGCCTGAATTAGGCATTGTTTGCCATGCCACTAAACCTGCCGCCAAGTGACAACTTCATGGGGGAAATGAGAGCGGAGTCTGGCCTGCAGAAGATGGACGCCCTGTCTCTGTTTTTATTGTTTTATTTTGCTTTCTTTTCTTTTTTCTTCTTTATTTTTCTTTTAATTTTGTCCTTTTTTTGCCTTAATTCTTTCATTTCTACCTGTTGAACTGGTTCTTCAGTTCTGTAAAAATTGTGTTCCAAGAGTTCATGATTTATTTTAAACTTAACCCAGTGAAACTGTTTCAAGATGGAATTCCATCTTTTCAGTAAGAGTTAAGCAGCATCTTAGAGCTGGTTTAGAGTTTATAATTAAACTATAGAAAAAAACTAAAGCATGCATAATTAGATGTAAAAAGTACTGAGATCAATGAAATGACATCTGATTGAACATGGCTAGAACTGGGTTCTGTAACAAATGAAGGGAGCCATTTGTTTTTATTAGCCAAAGGTATTACATACATGTGTATGGCTTTATCTGGACTGTACTTTGAAATTTTCTTTCTTTTATTCTGAAACTTCTCTGTCTCTTACCAAGCAAAGTTAAATAACATGACAAGTTGTTTGCAATGTAGAAAGACAATGGTCCCATTCACACACTGAGTAGCATAGGAGCCACTTTTTCATTGTTTTTAGCTGCAGTATATATGTGACTTCTATGACCATGTGAAAATTCTATGATGAAGACATTTCCGCATGGCTAGATGAATGTGTGAAGGGGGCCAGTGTTTCAAGATTAGTAGGGCATTGTATATATTTCAATTTTATAAGTCAGCTTACTAATTTCTGCGATAAATCTTGAAAATATGGAAAACACATAAATAACTGTCAATTGACCTTTGAATGATTGACCAATGTTTATTTTATATACTGTCTTCTCTTTACTGTAGCATTCTGTGGGAAGACAACAAGCACAACTGATTTTTCTTCTGCATTTTGACAGATGATTATGACACACTCTTAGATACAGCAGACACACATCCTACAAGCTTTTTGTTGTCAAGTTTGACTATTTTCTGCAAAAACTTACCAAGAAATACCAACAGCTTGTTGCCTTTCTCTGTACTAAAGAGAGCTCAGTTTTATAGTTATCTTCTCTGTGACGGTGCACATGCTTGCACTCTTCCTCCTGAAGCATTTTTATGTACTCTGAAATGTTTGGTAATTTTATGTGAACAGATAGATAATTATAATAGTAGCCGTAAATCTTCCAGAATATGTAGGTTCTTCTAATGATCCAACAGAATTTGTGCTAAAACCAGTAAAACTTTTGGAGATGTGTAAAAATTACCTCAAGCGAGGGGTATGACACCTGCCAGAGCTGTTAAATTCAGATAAATTAATAAAGAAATACTGTTACTAATCAATTTAAAATGACTTTATCTAGATCTGAGTTAGTGCTGGGTGTGTTCTGTATGCATGCTTCATATCACTGCTTTAAAGAAGATTATTTTAATAATCAGCAGTGTGTTGTATACAAGAAGGAGTTCAACATATATGAATGGCTTTTACAGGGATAGCTGCTGTAATAGTTACCATTTGGGAGGTTTATATTCCATTTTTATCAGTAAGTTGAGAGAAGTACAGATATATTTAGCCAGGAACAAAATTATTTAAGTAAAACATTAGTTTGTTAGAGTGGTTGAGTATCTCTATTCTGGTACAGCCCTATTCTGAATATTAGATTTTATTTAATAAAATAAATAGATATTTGTTTTAGTTTAGTTTTGCAGTTTTAATACTGCTTTTTAAAATAATAAAGGATTATGTAGTATTTAGCAGTTATGTTACCCTAAATATTCCTACTCAGTGGCTATAGGTATAACAGTTTACAAGGCTAAATTGAGGATCTATTTATACACCTGATTTACATGGAGTGACTGAGTAGTCAGGGCAATGTAGGAGTAAGTGAGCATGCTCTCTTGGGACAGGTCACCATTTCTGCTTTGCTTCTAAATTACAAAAAACCCCAGGGCCTTTTCTGGGTTTTTTGCTATGGCATTTGAACCTAGCATTTTTAATTGTGGAAGAAGAAATGATCCATAGTTTTAAACCAACAACGAACTTGAGCTCAACAGAGTTCTGGGTTTAATTCTTGTAGTAAATAACTCAGAAATGGGGCTTTCCTGGTTTGTTTGTTTGTTTTGGGCAGGGGATCTGGAAATGAAAGAAATGGCAAGCAGTTGCAAGGCAGTGTGCTCACTCCTGCTTGGTCTCAACTCATGGTTGCCATTATGCCCAAACTGCATCATACAACTTGTTATCCCTCAACAACTGATGATTCTTCAGTCCAGCAGAAGGCCCCAAGACTGCAACAAAGGGAGAGGCTATTTTTGGTTATTTTTATTCCTGCGGCACTTAATACCACTTCCCAAGCATTTCTGGTATCCTTTCTGCAGAGATTTTGGTGTAGTGCAGAGGTCTGCAGTGGGAAGGATTAATTGCCAAAAATGGGCTACCTTCCTGTTCTACTGGCAGAAGTCTCCACTGGATCAAAAACCTTTAACAACACAGAGGCACCATGAGAGTCAACCCATTGTACCTAACCATGGAAGCCTGCAGTTACATAATATACTGAGGAACAACTCCCATTAAACTTAGCCAGGTTTTCTTCTGAATAGACATGTATAGGTTGCACTTGAAATGATCTAAGTGCATTTATCTTGTCATTTACATCAGTGGTAGAACCAGTATTTGATCTCGAGACTTAACAAATAGGAACACTTCTGCCCTTAAAATTCTACTGAAATCATGAGACACCGGTCAGTTCATACCTAGCTGGGTCTGCTATGTTTTTTTTTCTTTCAGGCCTAAATCAGCATCATTTGAGCTATACTCAAATAAAAAGACATTTCCATTTAAATATTTCTATTGCTGTATTACTCTTCTTTAAGTTTATTTTGTCATTTTATGGTTCAGAAAGTAAAATTGGCCTAGGAAGTTGAACAGTGCAGTTCTCCAGACATCTGTTACCACAAATAATCTTCTTATTTTGGATGTGTAACAAACTTCAAGGACTTAATTAGGGCTCTGTCAATTTGCCCTGTCTTGTGTTTCTGTCTTGCTCTGGAAGATGAGAATTATAGTATTAAAAGATGGGCAGATAAAAATTATGCAAAACATTTATATTTCTTTGGCAATGTCAGGTACTACCAGGTAAACAGATTCTTGAGGAGGACTGAAATGACTAGATTGCTTATAGCTATTTGATAAGTAACACTTTGTGTTACTTCAGACAAAGATGACTCTGAGGCAAAGCACTTTGCCAAGTGCAGTTTGTGATTTCTGCTCAGCTTTTCAACTAATTGTTTTAGATCTGTGTGTGTTAGAATGTTTTATTCTTCTTTATTATCTTAAGCTTACATCAAGCTTCTTAAGGAAGAACCTGAAATCACAATGAAGAGCTTTTTTTTTTTTTTTAGACACTTTAGGGAAGGCTTTTTATACTTCAAGTATGTGGTCAGTGCACTTAGTGGTCCACTGCAGGCATAATGCTTAACCTGGGTGTCACTGAAAAAGATTAAAATACCAAATATATGGTGAAATGTTGGTTTATTTTGCTGAGGTAAGCCTTGCCTGCAGAAGATGTAGGGGGGGGGGTCACTGAAACCTGCTTGTCACTCCGTATTGCCTTAAGCACATTTACTTGGTGGAGAGGTAATATTTAATAAAGGTTCAGGAATCAGACATAATGCTTAATGGCAGTTATGTCTGCATAGGGCAGTGAGATCAAGCAAATATTTCAAATAAGGATTCCAGAGCACTTACTCCCTTTTGAAGTTAAGGAAGCCATGGACCTCATCGTGCTGAAGTATATAAGCTACAAATCAGTATGGTTCTAGGTTTCTTGCCTTACCTGTTGCTGCAGACTGACTACTTGTAGTCACCTGTTAACATTTTTCGCAGCCCTTTCAACAGAAGAAAAGGGAAGATTTTGGTTAGCACACTCCTGTTTCCTCTTTTTTTTCCTTTTGACTGATTTGGTTATTTGCCATTTCTGGGGATTAAACTTTAAAAAATGTTCTTCTTTTCTGTATCTGATGTTCTGTGTGCTATTAGTGATGCAGCCAACACGAACGGTTGTCATGTGTAACACAACTTTCGATCACCGTGAAAACAACGTCCTGCGAAAGCGTCCATGCTTGATATCGTTTGGTTCATGAACATTAAGTTTCCAGTACAGGTGACCCATAGCTCAAAGTGTTAAATAATTGTCTACATTGTTCAGTTTTTAAAGTAAAAATCCGGTAATGAGATTGCTAGATTTGCTCACTTGTTGTTCCTGGTGGAGCAGGGGAAAAGGAAAAACTTGAATTATTTTATTTTTCGTAAGGTTCTCGTAGATTGATTTTTTTCTTTACTATTTTTAAGTTGAAGGGTAATGGTAAATAGAAGACTGTTTGGGAGGTGGCCTTTTGGTAACAAATACATTTGCTCTTCAGGTAAAATCCCAGATGAAGCCAAAGCCCTGTCTCTGTTGGCTCCTGCACCTACAATGACCAGCCTGATTCCTGGTGGAGGGTTGCTTCCTATACCAACGCCTCCTGTGAGCTCGGTAAGTAGAACTGACGTTAATAATGCTATTTAGTGCAGACTGCCTTTTGTTCGATTGCATTTTCAGTATGTGTTCTACTGTATGGCCTTAACATACATCTTCAGGTTAATTTAGTCATGATGTAAATCATAGGAGTTGTACATTCTTAATTAGAGTAGTATCTGCTAGTTGCAGTCTCTCTGAGATTGAAAGGATTAATTGGATATGTAATAATGCTTTTGCTAAACATTAAAGAAGTCTCCTTGTCATATCATATGTTACTGAGAGAGTACTCAACCCTTACTCTGGTGCTTTCCTCAGCAGAATGTTGCCTTACAGGCCAAATGCATTAAATTTATTATTTTATTTATTTATTAAAACATTTCTATGCCGCCCCTTGCCGAAGCCTCGGGGCGGCTTACAACACAATAAAATGCAAAAATAACAGTATAAAATTAACAATATAAAATAAATAATGATCTTGCCTGTTCCCATGTAGTGAACATTTAAAACATGAAAGCTTAGGACTGATGATACAGAGTTTCTCAAGTCTTCCAAATACAGTTGAGTGTTTTACTTCTGAAGTGCAATGTATTGTACCTTTCCAGAGTAGAAGGAAAACTTTTTATGCTTGTTTCTGTACAAAATGTCCTCTGTTTTCAGATTGGTATTTCTCTTGGTCCACTGGGGGCTATACCAGCAGCAGCGTTGGATCATAATATTACAGCCATTGGAGACATACCCCAGCCACCCATTATGGGCAATGTGGATCCTTCCAAGATAGATGAAATTAGGAGGACTGTGTATGTTGGAAACTTGAATTCCCAGGTAAATAGCTTTGCTTTAATTGGATGCATTGATAAGTCTGGTTTTACATACAGTGGCTTAATAGTTCTAATCTTGAACATACCAAAAGAATATCTACGGTGCATTCCTGATTGTTGTATGTAGACATTGGTCAGTTTATCTGGAGCTTGGTGAATTGGTGATAGAATATAGGCTAGCCAGGCTTGTTGGGTGGAGGGAAAAAACTTTTTCTATGCAACTTCATTCAAGCCATTCTGAGTGCCCCTAACCTCCCTGGAATTGCCCCATTTTTAAAAAATAAGTTTTATTTGAAATTATAATCCTAAAAAAAAGAAAAAAAAACTAAAAACAACATCCATCATCAAAAACGTCGGGCCTGCTGGGTCAGCCCCCACACCCTTCTTTTTCTATTTATGATAACTTAAAAGCATATTTAAATCTATGTGAAGTCCCGTTTCTCTAGCCAATAATAAAAAGAGTCCCAGGTTTGATAGAAGTCAGTATCTTCCTTCTCTTTCAATGATAAAGTCAGTCTATCCATTTCTGCACAGCCCAGGATCTTTTTTAGAATCAGTTCGTCAGTGGGTAGTTCTTCACTTTTCCAGTGTTGAGCAAATGCAATCCTCGCCGCAGTGATTACATGTAAAATAAAATACATTTCTTGTTTACTAATGTCCTCCGGTATAATGTCTAATAAAAGAACTTCAGGTTTAAAAGCTAAAGGTTTTTGTAACACTTCCTCAAGCCATTTATGTATTTTAATCCAATACTTTTTCACGTTATCGCAAGTCCACCACATATGATAAAAAGTACCCAATTTGTGTTTGGAATTGCCCCATTTTTTAAGTAACTCTGGGCATAATATCCAGCCCCTTGTTTTTAACACGGGTGGCACTGGTGACAATGATGGAAAGACAGGTGTAGGGGGACTGTATATGTTGGTGAGATACCACTATTGCACCAGAAAGTAACACTGCAATGTGTGTACATTGCAGAGAACAGGAGAGTGCAGGGCATGGAATGTGTAACCAATCAGTAGTCAACAAGCAGGGTTTTTAAGTGTGCAGATGTGAGGAGAAGCAGTGGCACAGCAGCGTAATGATGCTGGAAACAGCCAGAAATGGCCAGCACTCCAGCCGTTTGAGCCCAGTCTCTGCCAGATGGAGGGGGCTCCTGTTGTTCGCTCCTAGCCAACCTAGCATTTCAAAAATGCGAGTAGATAAATAGGTACTACCTTGGTGAAAGGTAACAGTGCTCCGTGATGTCATGCTGATCACATGATTGTGAGATTGTCTTCAGACAGTACTGGCTCACTGCCGTAAAAACAGAGATGAGCATTGCCCCCTTTTAGCCATTGGCTAAGCAGAGTAGAATCCACAGAGACGCCTTTATCTTTTACCTTTATGTGCATTTACTTATACTGTGTGTGCTTTTCTTTATTTTAGACTACTACAGCTGATCAGCTGCTTGAGTTTTTTAAACAAGTTGGGGAAGTCAAGTTTGTGCGGATGGCAGGTGATGAGACACAACCAACACGCTTTGCCTTTGTGGAATTTGCTGACCAAAATTCTGTACCTAGAGCACTTGCCTTTAATGGTGTTGTGTTTGGAGACAGACCGCTGAAGTAAGAAACTAAATGTTGTTGTTGTTGTTGTTATTAGTTGCGAAGTCATGTCCGACCCATCGTGACCCCATGGACAACATTCCTCCAGGCCTTCCTGTCCTCCACCATCCCCCGGAGTCCATGTAAGCTCACACCAACTGCTTCAGTGACTCCATCTAGCCACCTCATGCTCTGCCGTCCCCTTTTTCTTTTGCCATCTGTTGTTCCCAGCATTAGGCTCTTCTCCAGGGAGTCTTTCCTTCTCATTACGTGGCCAAAGTACTTGAGTTTCATCTTCAGTATCTGGCCTTCTAAAGAGCAGTCAGGGTTGATCTCCTCTAGGACTGACCGGTTTGAGCTCCTTGCGGTCCAAGGAACTCGCAGGAGTCTCCTCCAGCACCACAATTCAAAGGCCTCAATCCTTTGGCACTCAGCCTTCCTTATGGTCTAGCTTTCACAGCCATACATTGCAACTGGGAAAACCATAGCCTTGACTATACACACTTTTGTTGGCAGGGTGACGTCTCTGCTTTTTAGTTTGCTGTCTAGATTTGCCATAGCTTTCTTCCCCAGGAGCAAGGGCCTTTTAATTTCTTGGCTAATCTTGGTGCCCAGGAAAATAAAATCTGTCACTACCTCCATTTCTTCCCCATCTATTTGCCAGGAAGTGAGAGGACTGGATGCCATGATCTTAGTTTTCTTAATGTTGAGTTTCAAGCCAACTTTTGCATTCTCCTCTTTCACCCGCATCAAGAGGCTCTTTAGTTCCTCTTCACTTTCTGCCATGGGAGTGGTATCATCTGCATATCTGAGGTTGTTGATATTTCTCCCAGTGATCTTAATTCCAACTGGTGATTCATCTAGCCCCAGCTTTCTCACGATGTGCTCTGCATATAAGTTAAATAGGCAGGGCGACAGTATACGGCCTTGCCGAACTTCTTTCTCAATTTTGAACCAATCAGTGGTTCCGTGTCCAGTTCTCACTGTTGCTTCTTGACCCACATACAGGTTTCTCAAGAGACAAATAAGATGGTCTGGTACTCCCATCTCTTTAAGAACTTGCCACAATTTGTTGTGATCCACACAATCAAAGGCTTTAGCATAGTCAAAT